GCTCGGCGCATCATTCTAACTCGAGCGGAGTCATGTGTCTCAAGCTCGAGCGGGCGTCGAGCGTCCGTCGAGCGGAGATTTCACCCATCCAGTACTTTTACAGTACGCTCGAGCGGGATATTTGACGCTCAAGCGTGTACCTTTGTTGCATGACCGCTCGAGCGGGGAAACCTGTGCTCGAGCGGGACTCTGTTTTTCTGAAAACTCCTGAAACTGTTTTCTAATCACATCTTTACATCCTCATCTCATCCTAGGCATTCTTAGGCCTAGTTTAAGACATCTTCATGAGGGCGTAGATGTAGAACACACCGAGGCAAATTAGGGATTAAGTTATTATCTTTCCCAGCTGTGTAGCTTAGTGTGTTCAATCTATTAACTGTGTAGGGTTGGCGACTGGGGAGGCACGCTCTAGCATACTGTAGCCCAAACTCTGTGAGTAACTATTGTGTAAAGATATGTTCACAAACGATTATCTTCTGAACAACTGAACTGTACTGTTTTCAATTGAATACTGTTAATTGAATGAATGTATGTCCTATATTCTGAACTGTATTGTGGCATCCTTAGCACCTACTGTTTACTGTTACTGTTACTGTTACAGAGATCTCTATCGGTTCCCTTGTTGGAACCACTACTGTTTACTGACTGATGGCCATCATTATTGTTCGGTCTTTTAAGGCCTACTGTTTGCTGTACTGTTATGCTAATGGATGTACCACATATGACTGTACTGACTGAACGACTGAAATACTGATTTAATGAACTGTTTTCATTACTGTAAGGACATTCATTCTTAACCTCTTTACGCATTATGTTATTCACTGGGCTTTAGCTCACTGCTCTTATATATATGTAGGTGTTCAGGCATCAGACCGCGGCTAGGAGCGTCAGGGTTACTCCAGTTTTGTCAAGCCAGCCTATGTGCCTCACTGCGAGGTTCCGAGCCTATCATGTTAAGGCTTAGGGGTGTTTTATAATTCCCCCTTCTGTACTGTCTTACTGTTTTGTATAGACCGAATGGTTACTGTACTGTGATGTAAAGGGTTGAGTCCCTAGTCTGAATGATTGTGCATTTTGTGCATACTGTTCTGTACTGATTATGTATATATGTATGAAAGTCTTTTTGCATACAGACTGTCACAACTCATTGGACATTGTTTATTTACTGTTTTGGCTTCCGCCAGGCCCTGTACTCTGTTTTACTGTTCTACTGTTCTGCAGGCCTTCGGTAATCTCGGATTACTGGCCCGTTACGGTGCTAAACCCATAGGGCCGGGTTTGGGTCGTGACAACTTCACGATTGGCCAAGACAAAAGCCTCCAAATTCGGAGCCCCATCCGTGCAAGACACGTTGGGCCGATTAAGCCTCCGGATTCAGAGCGCCCTTCGTGGATTTCACGATTGGCCAGGATAAAAGCCTCCGAATTCGGAGCCCCGTCCGTGCAAGACACGTTGGGCCGAGTAATCCTCCGGATTCGAAGCTGCCTTCATGGATTTCACTTCACAATTAGCTAAGATAAAAGCCTCTGAATTCGAATCCCTATCCGTGTAAGACACGTTGGGCTGAATAAGCCTCCAGATTCGGAGCGCCTTTCATGGATTTCACGATTGGCCAAGATAAAAGCCTCCGAATTCGGAGCCCCATCCGTGCAAGACACGTTGGGCTGAGTAAGCCTCCGGATTCGAAGCACTTTTCGTGGATTTCACGATTGGCCAAGATAAAAGCCTTCGAATTTAGAGCCCCATCCGTGCAAGACACGTTGGGCCCAGTATGCCTCCGGATTCGGAGCGCCCTTAGTGGATTTCACGGTTGGCCAAGATAAAATCCTCTAAATTTGGAGTCAAATCCGTGAATGACAAGTTTGGGCCGAGTAAGCCTCCGTGCAAGACACGTTTGGGCCGAACGAGCCTCTGAATTTGGAGGGCCCTTCGTGGACCGATTGGCCAAGGAAATAAGCCTCCGAATCCGGAGCACTCTTCGTGGAAACCACGTTTGGCCAAGGCAAAACACCTTCGAATTCGGCATTTTTTTCGTGAATATTATGATTGACAAGCATAAACGCAGTTGACGAAAAATGGAAGATGATCACAGCTGAATATATAAACATAAATTAAAACAACATGCAAACATTTAAAATAAAATGTTTCATTGAATTAATTGATAATACATAATTCGCTTCCAATCTATGTTAGAGCGGTACAATATGTTTAGTTTTATTCGGCATCCCTCTCGTCATCGCTCTTCTCGACTTCGAAAGCCACAAAGGGAAAATGATGACCCTGATATAACGGCGACGCCGAATCAACGCCTTCTGCTCGGAGAGCCTCTGTGGCCTAGAGAGCCTTGACCCACCCGTGCTTAAATCCACGATTCTTGCATCGGTAAACCTCCTCGGCGAGCTTCTTCTTAGTCTTCTATATCCTAACTTTTCGGCCGTCATGGAAGCCTTGTTCATAAGCTTTGGTCTTTGCAGCCTCCATTGCGAACATGTTTGCTGTATCTCGATCGGCAATCGCATGACTTATGAGTTGTTGGGTCACGTTTTCTTCCACAATCGGGTTAACTTGTCCGGCCGACTGTGTCTCGGCAGTTTTGACCATTCTTGAGCTTCCAAGTTTCAAATGCGTTCATCCTTCTGCTCTATTTCTCGCCGCGCGGCACGAAGACGCATGTTGATTTGATAGGCGGTATACAACCATTTCACCGCTCTATGGATGTCCTCCCGAAACACTTCGAAAGCAGGTCGACTGACCATCGACTGCTAGACTTCTGGTGGAAAAATCTGTCGAGCAAACTTGACTGCCATATTTGGGTCGTGAACAATTGAATTCGCTTCCGTCATCGGTTTGTTTCCCACAAAAACCGTAAAACTTAACGAGCGCGGCGTTGCACTGGTTTCTCCTCTCAAGCATGGTAGAGGAGAGCTGCCCCATTGCTGTTTTTCCCTTCTGGGTGACCTACTTCGGGGACGCGGGGATTGGCATTTTTCACGTTCCCTTAACGTCTTACTCCCAGTGCGCGTATGTTCGCCACCTCGGTTCATCTCTGCGTTCAATTCCGCGAGTGTTCTCCCTTCTCCTTTACTGTTGAAGAATAACCTTCTTGCCATCCACAATTGTCCACACTACTTTTTTCCTCCCTCAATTTATTGGCTCTGAACGCAACAATGGCCCCTCTACGCACCCAACACCCATTCCATTTATTCCTTACGGGTGCAGCATCCCCGAGGCGATCTCATCAATGCTAATTTTTAAAACCTTTCGCCAGATTCGATCAGGCTCTACTTGGTCAAATGTCAAGGCCTTGCGCCGATTAGGTTGTGAGTTCCTACATTCGCTGGGGCAAGGCAGATTCATTAATCTATTCGGCCAAATGTACAGGCCTGGCGCCAATGATCTCATGTGCCCCAGCCACCCCATGAACTAATAGCATTCGGCGTTCCAATTCATGCATTAGCTGGGGCAAGGGCAGATTCATTAATCTAATCGGCTGGACGTACAGGCCTGGCGCCGATCATCTCATGTGCCCCAGCCACCCCATGAACTAATAGAATTCGGCTGTTCATACATTAACTGGGTCAATGGCAGATTCATTAATCTATTCGGCTAAATATACAGGCCTAACGCCGATCATCTCATGTGCCCCATCCACCCTATGAAGTAATAGAATTCGGCGTTCCAGTTCATATATTAGCTGGGTCAAAGACAGATTCATTAATCTATTCGGCCAAATGTACAGGCCTGGCGTCGATCAACTCATGTGCCCTAGCCACCCTATGAACTAATAGCATTCGGCGTTCCAGTTCATGCATTAGCTGGGGCAAGGGTAGATCCATTAATTTAATCGGCCAGACGTCGAGGCCTTAAGCCGATTTACTTGTTATTTTATCGAATATTCATGTACCTTTTCCAATTGTTAACTGTCGATTCGTTTATTTATTCGGCTAAATAGCAAAGACAAGCATATGATGTTTAATTGATTCGGTTAATTTATCGGATGTTTAATTTACTCATACGACGCAGATAGAAAAGCACAAGGAATTTTCATTAATAAATTGAAGACAAATAGTATATGCAGTAAATTGAAAAGCATAGAAAATTTTCATTAATAAATTAAGCACAGATAGTAGTCATTTTACACATGAAAATTACCTTACATTTAAACTTCTAGTAGAAGTAAAGAAATGAAAATCTACTAACAAAACCTACAAAAACTATGCATCTAAGATGCTTGACAAAAATCAAAGTATCACCCTAATCAATTTTCAGGGTCAGACTCCAGCGGCTCAACGTCTACCTGCTCGTATGGAATCGGCTGTACCAATGTCACATTCACGGCAGTGAGGGCTTTGAGCCAGCTGTTTTGGAAGCCCTGATTCTCAAACTTGGCCACTTCCTCTACGTAGTTTTCCAAGGCGGCGTCCTTCTCAGCTTGGAACGTTTTGGAAATCTCGGAGTCGGCTATTTCCTTTGCCTTCCTCGACTCTTCCAAGTCGGCTTCCAGCTTGGCGATCACCTCCTTAGCTAACTTGAGCACGTCTTCGCTCGCTTTGGCCCTCTCTTCGGCGGCCAGCCTTAGTTGGTCGGAATTCCTTGCGCTCTCGGCTTCGGAGTCGGCTCTCGCACGTTCCTCTGGCGCTTTTGCTGCCTCAGAATCGGCTCTTTGAGAGGCTTCCACAGCCTTGCTTTTTTTATTTTTAATTTTGGCTTTTAACAAGTCGATCTGTTCTATAGCGTCATGTTGACGTCGGCCGATTTTAGCTATCCTTCCCACAATTTGGAAAACAAGGAAATAGAGTTACAATAAAATATATATATATATCTAGGCGGAAGATTGTAGATAAGGCAAGCAATGTACCAATAAGGCCGATTGAGCGGCAATTGCAATTGACAGTAGATCTGGCTATGCTCGAAATGTGGCTCTGTCAACCGGCAAGGAAATTGAGGAGGCCATGCTTAAGGCGACAGCCGGGTCCTTCAAAACCGACACATCAGAGACAATCGGCATATTCCTTATCTTTGGTTGAACAGTGAATGAAACAACCAAGTCCGATTCCTCAATGCGCGGCTGTTTATCGATTTGGTCCTCACCAGAGATGGTTTCTCGCTAGGTGGGGTGTTTTTTCTCCCTTTGCTCAGCCTCCTGATCCCCCTGTTCCACTTGCTCCGTCTCAGCTGTTTCGGTCTGAGCTGTTTCTTCCTCAATAACAGGCAGAGAGGACTCAACGACGGCAACGGGTGGAGTTTCCGATCGGATGGCCTCGGTTCTCCTTCGGGTGGCCATCCTTTCGGCATTTTTCCTTCTGGCAAGTTGAGTGAGCGACTCCCCGACCTTATTCTCAGGATACGCGCCGGGAAGGTCTCCTAAGTCTGTAAAAATGTCTCCAAAGGAGACGTCCCCTCAGCCTAAAGTGGACGGAGGGTTGGATGAATTTAGGCCGGCTTCCTCAAAGACCAAGTTTAGAGCCTCGTCTACCTCAGCTTCCGACTGGTTTGACTCCTCGACGGCCTGTTCGGCTACTTGTTCCTCCATCTGCTCCAAATTGGAGGCTTCCAAACCAATCTGCCTTAGGTTTTTGAAGTTGGGTAAGATAAGAGCCGTAAGCTGCTGTTTGCCCCTTGGAATTGGAATGTTGTCTGTAGCCAAAAACGTTGCGTAATTTGGCTCGTATCTTAGAAGAATGTGGGCCGCCTTCCCTTGTTTCTGAAGGCTTAGACGACCAAAGAGTTGGAGCATGATTTTAATTTCCGCAAGTACGGCGTCGTTGGCTGAAACCAAAACTTTCTTCAAATCATTGACTGGACAAATAAAATGGTAAGTACATAAAAGGAAAGCCGAATAAATATATAATAATAAAAAATAAGGAGCTATACGGCCACCTAGTTTGCCTCTTCGTCTTGGCATGGGATCCAGGCGATCTTTACCCTCGCCGAATTCCCAGTCGCCTCGGATAACGACCATTACATCATCAACACGCTTACCAGAACTGGCAAGCATAGCCACTAAGTGATGGTCGGTATCCTTGGCCTTGAGAAAATAGCGTCCCTGCCGGCCAGAAGATTTGGCTAAGGCAAAATAATGCCGAATTGCAAGTATACCAAGGTTAATGGTAAGGCGTCGGTTCAACTCTATAATCCCCATTATGATTTGGAAAAAATTTACATTAGGTTGGGAAGGGATTAAACCCTAGTGGCGAATGATGGCCCTTAAAAATAGGTGAATGGAAAAACAGACTCCGCCCTCAGCAATTGATAGGAGAGGAAAGATGATTGTACTTTCATCAGTCCTCTCCATATCAATGGTTCTGTCTGTCACGAGTGATAGAGGGACGTCGTCAGGGATGGAATAATGGCGTTGGAAACCATAAATTTGATCCGTAAAAAGGAGTTCTTTCAAGTGTTTTGTCATCCTAGCTAGCCTAAGGATTGTGCAAAACTAAAAATAAACAAAGAAGTGGGATTCGAAATGAAGGATAAGAGAACTTACAAGAAACAGAAGAGACAATGAGAGACATGAGAAAATTGCAAAGATCGTGAAATGGAGGTATATCGAAAGGCAAACCATAAGCTTTGAGTATTCACAAAACTTACATTCGAAGGGACAACATAGTTTCAAATCACATTAAATGAAGAAAGCGTACGAAGAGGCGAGAAGATGTAATGATACCTAAAAAGCGTGTGTTCTGACATGCGTTGGAATAGGGTTAACCACCGTTCTTTCCTTGTATTTTCAAGTTCAAAACCAAACACGCCGTTCGAAACCAAACGTGTTGACTAACTGGCGTTAATAGGATGTTTGGGGGGCAATTGTGGGAGCCGGATATTGTTGGTATACAGGTAGTAAAGAAGAATGACGGTATGAGCACAGTTAAGGATGAAATTTGTATTCGGCTTCATTCTGGACGATGGTAAGACCGAATAGACTAATCGACCGAAGAACCAGTTGAACAAAAGCTGAATAAATAAATGTGCAATGGATTGAGGGTGGGCTCGACCCTGAGGCCCAAAATAAAAATATAAATAGAGGAGCATCAACCAAAAAAAGGTATGTGAGAACAAGTAAGATTAACTGAAGATACAAGCAGCCAATAGAGTATACACTAACTTATCCGTCCGAGTGCTAATTCCGGTACCCCCGACCGGAGCGTTCATTCCTTTTCAGGTGACTAGCTGAGGATTAAGAGCGTCCTACAGGATCCAGAGAGTATTTCCAAACCACTTCTCCACAATCTTGATGGACGATATTGTCCTTGATGCCATTTTTCAAAGTATTGAACAACCTAATTTAAATTTTTTTGAATCACTTATATATATCTAAATTATAACAAATTATTTGGTCAATACTTAAAAAATAACAAAATATGTTTTTCTTCAAAAATAAAAATAAAAAATATTTTTCTTCAAAAAATAAAAAATATTTTTTTGACATAAATAATAAATAAAAAAAATTAAAGAAAAAAAATTGATTCTTTTTTTTTTTTAAAAATAGAGTTCTGTAAAGAGTTTGGAAAATAATTTGGTTATAAGTTTTGAATTTTTTTATTCAAATTATGATTTGAGTTCTAAACCAAACGTTACCTAAGTTTTTTGAACAATGTTTGATTTGTTGTTTACAAAAAAAATTTCATTTAAAAAAAAATAGAAACTAATTTAATAAAAATAAATATGAACAAATATATTTAATTTTAAAAATTATTTCTAACTGTCACGACCCAAACCCGCCTCATAAGGTTTAACGTGTAATTACCAAAGGCCTATTTAGCAATAATGACAATAACACAATAATGAGGCTGGCAGAAACCAATCAATCATAGAAAAATAATGTCCAAAGAGCTGGGAAAACTAAAACGAATAACACTGTCACGACCTAAACCTGCCCCTATGGGTTTAGCACCGTAACTGGCCAGTAATCCATGATTACCGAAGGCCTGCTTAACAGTAAAGACAGTAATACAGAGTACAGGGGCTGGCAGAAGCCAAAATAGTAATAAAAGATATCCAATGAGCTGTGACAGTCTGTATGCAAAAAGACTTTTCATAACACATTCATAATCAGAACAAAAGCAGTATGTACATACACATATACAGGCATTCGGGTTAGGGACCAAATCCCTACCATAACAGTACAATACAAGTCTATACAGTCTATACAAAACAAAGACAGAAATGGGGAATCTAAAACACCCCGAAGCAGCCCTAGCTTGAAGGACTTGGAACCTCTCAGTGAGGCACAGTGGTTGGCTTGACAAAAAGGGAGTTAAACCCACCGCTCCTAGCTCCGGTCCGGTGCCTGGACACCTACATATATATATAAACAGTAAGCTAAAGCCCAATGAATAACATATGCGTAAAGAGGTTAGGAATGAATGTTCTTTCAGTATTAAAAACAGTCATTCGAACAGTATATCAGTTATTCAATCATAGCAGTCATAAGTGGTACATGCAATAGCAAACAATACAGTAGGTCTTAACAGACCGAACAGTCAGTTGGTGGCCATCATATCAGTAAACAGTAGTGGTTCCAAACATGGGAACCGACAGAGATCTCTGTAATAGTAACAGTAGCAGTAACTTGCTATGGATGCCACGAATACAGTTCACAAATAGGACAAACATTCATTCAGTAAACAGCGTCATTTCATAAAGCAGTACAGTCATTTGTTCAGAAAATAATCTCAATTGAACATATCTTTACAACATAGTTACTCACCAGAGTTCTGGGTTACAGATAAGCTAGTGAGCGTCCTCGGATGCCAACCCTACACAGTTACAGAACGAACACACACTAAGTTGCACACTTGGAAAACAATGACTTAGTCCCTATTCTGACTCGGTGTGGTTCTACATCAATATCCTCATTAAGATGCCTTAAACTAGGTCTAGGAATGCCTAAGATGGAATGAAGATGCAAAGATGCACTTTAAAAACACTTTTCAAAATTTCAGAAAACATGGGTCTCACTCGAGCGTGGCTTTCTACGCTCGAGCGGACATGCAGACAAAGGAGTTTCGCTCGAGCGTGACTTTCCTCGCTCGAGCGGACTGCAAAAGTACTAGATGCACGAAATTCACGCTCGATTGGCGCTCGACCCCCGCTCGAGCGTGAGACACAAGTCCTCGCTCGAGCGGACTGTAAACACATGCCAAAGTCTGGACACACGCATTTCACGCTCGAGCGTCACTTTACTCGCTCGAGCGGACTGCATGAACTCAAAGTGTACGCTTGAGCGTGGGTCCAAATTCTGAAATTTTCAGATTGAACCTCCAAGCTCAAAATCAACATTTAAAGCATCAAATTCAATCTTTTTGGGCTAATTTTTTGGAAAAACACTTTAAAACTCATAATATGACATGTTTCAAAGATCAATTTGCAAAATCAAAGCCCAAAGGTAGTTCAATTGAACCCATTTTCAAACAAAACTTTAAGAACATGATGGACATGCAACATGCATGAATTCACTCAACTTCAAAGCTTCCAACACATAATCAAATGAGTCAATCCTTTCAAAAACACGATGAATTTATGAACTATAATCAAGATATGGACATGTATGTAGCAATTTCCATGAAAACAATCTCAAAATGCTAGAACATGTACATGCATGCATTGATTACTACTCAAATCAACATTTTAAACCAAATCTTAACCCTAAACTCTAATTCACCAAGAACCATGCAAGAAGTAACTCAAATTCATAATGGAGAAGATGAATTCTCTACTTTAGATCCTTAATTTCAAGTCTAGGAGCGCAATTATGAAATCTCTCTTCAAAATCTTCAAGTCTCCAAGCTAAATTTGTTGAAATCAAGTTTTTCCTCTCACTCTCTCTCTCTCTCTAGTCGGTTATGGTTCAGGAATGGTTGAAGAAATGTTATAATGCTAGCATATAGAGATCAAATAAAAGGCTTATGAACTAGTCCACTAAGTGGCAAAATGGTAATTAAGCCAACTAATGTAATTCAACATTATTTAATCCAATTTAATCATACCAAATCAAATTTCAATTAAACATACCATAAAATCACGTAAATTCTAATTAGCATGAAACACTAATCAATTTCAGATTCGGCCGCCGATAAGGCCTTCAATTTGCAGTTTAAAACATAAAACTTGAACAGATAATTTAACAGTCAAACAGATAGATTTGCATTTAAACTAATACACTCAATCAATCAGTTCAGGATTATAAAACTTGAACAGATAATTTAGCAGTCAAACAGATAGATTTGCATTTAAACTAATACACTCAATCAATCAGTTCAGGATTTCAGTCAATCAGTCACTTAACATGCTTA